CCCCCCCCCCCCCCCCCCCCCCCCCCCCCCGTGGCTGTTGTGCTAAGAACCACAGGGACTTGTGCTGCTGCTGTTGTGTGCTGCTCTCCCCGGGAACCGGGCTGAGTGTCTGAGTGGCCTGGACTGTGTCCGGGAGTGAAGGAGCCTCTGAGCATAGCCTCATTGAATCCCTCTGGCTGGACCTGGCACTTGCCATCCTCAGAGCAGGCTGGAGTCCCTGCATAAGAGCTTTGGGTCTGTGGTGCAGGAATTGCAATACAACTATATAGAACTATAAACCCCTTTGTGTATGTATGTGTAGGAGGGAGAATGGGGAGAAGGGGCTGCCAAGGACAGAACTCCATGGTTTCTGGAGGAAGGGAGTGCAGGAGGACCAATTATCCCAGTGCAGTTTGAGACTGAACACACATTTTGGAAAAGGCTAGACTGTCTCTGGACGATTTTCCCACTATCACATTTTAACAGTCTTGCCTGCACTTCCAAAAACAGAAACATGGAATTCAAAACTTTCAAAATACAGCCCTGCATCCTAAGACACAGTGGACGTGTGCTCAGATTCTGACAGTGAACAAACAGTCTAAGAGTTCTGCCCCACAAGGCAGAGAAGGAGATGTGAACACAGCTGACGTTTTTATATACTTGATGGGAACTAAAAACGATTCTTATATCAGTTTTTCCGACAAGAACTAAAACAATTTTCAATTAAGTGGAAATTTTTAATGTGCATTTATCTTATTCTTCCAGAGCCTGAGGGGTGCTGAGCCAGAACAATGGCCTATTTGTAACAACTCCCTCTCTCTATCTCATTCTATTCCTGAAATAAGGCCTGTGGCTGTGACAGTAAAAACCTCCTTGCGCTTCCCTGCAAACTGGGTCAATATACTGTGCTGTTTGCTAGGCCGCTGCTCGATGCAGACCAAGTCTGACAGACAGACAGGTTGTCCGCAGCTGCAACAGCACACTGGAGGTAAAAACCCGAAGTAAACTTCAGCTGAAATGCATTTCAGATAATCATGCTTTCCTTTCTTCTAAATGCTATAATTACAAAATTGTCTTTGACTTGCTTTTATTCTATTTTCACTCTCCTTGCCTAATGAAATCTAACTGATGAAGTCAAGTTACAGGAAAAAAAAAAAAAAGCAAAGCCCCCTGAAATAAGGCCTGTGGCTGTGACAGTAAAAACCTCCTTGCGCTTCCCTGCAAACTGGGTCAATATACTGTGCTGTTTGCTAGGCCGCTGCTCGATGCAGACCAAGTCTGACAGACAGACAGGTTGTCCGCAGCTGCAACAGCACACTGGAGGTAAAAACCCGAAGTAAACTTCAGCTGAAATGCATTTCAGATAATCATGCTTTCCTTTCTTCTAAATGCTATAATTACAAAATTGTCTTTGACTTGCTTTTATTCTATTTTCACTCTCCTTGCCTAATGAAATCTAACTGATGAAGTCAAGTTACAGGAAAAAAAAAAAAAGCAAAGCCCACAGCCCTCAGCCCCAGTGGCAGTATGTCCAACACACTGCTGGGGAACCCACTTGGGTCCCACCGGCCCATCCTCCCCATGCCTACACCTGCTCTGCAGTCCCCTTGGAGCCCCGTCCCCTCATACCAGCTGAGAGACGTCCCACGCAGCTGGTGCTGAGGCTGAGGGGCACCCCTGACCAGCCTCCCGGGAGCCTGGGGCTGGGGCTGGGGCTGGAATTGTGAGGAAGGCCAAGACCTCCCAGGGCACCCACAGCCCAGCGTGCCTCCACTGCCCTGACCTCCACCTTCTGACCCTGGCCTCTCTAAGGTTCCCAGACATGCTAGGTGCAGCCCTGCCTCAGGGCACCCCCTGCCTGGACGCTGCCGCCCTCTCCCAGACTTTCTTAGGGATACCCCACCCATCCACTTCACCTTCCTCCCGAGCTCCTGCCATGCTGTGTTGCTGCTCGTGGTGGCCATCTGCTACTAGGAAGCCAGCTCCCAGGGGCAGGGGGTTCTGCACTTCCCTTTTGTGCTGTGTACCCAGAGCCTGGAGCAGTTGGCTTGGCTCCACAGTGTCCACAGTCCTTATGGGTCTCAGCCATGCCCTTCCTTGGCTGCAGCCACCCCCACCCAGACTGATTCCAGCTCTCATCTCTGAGGTCTCATCACTGAGCTCTCCCCACCCCATCTGCTGTCCAGGCCAGGAAGGTCCCCCTTACCTCCCATGCCACTGCTCCCATCCTTCTCTGTCCCCTCAACTACACACCCACGGGCAAAACTGTCCCTTCTCTGCCCCCTCAACTACATACCCCAGGGTCCAGGGGTCTCCTCTGCACAGGCTGAACTCAGGGAGAGGGGATGGGGAGCGCCTTCTGCAATATACCCCCCAACATGGCATCAGGTTGAGACAAAGCCTCGGCCTCTGGGGATGATTCTATTCCAGAATGTTCTTGCCACTGAAGAAACAAACACAGCACCACTTCCTGGAGCATCCACACTAACTCCAGAACTGGCTGCAAGGTTCCTATTTTTAATTAAATCAAAGTGGAAATATTACAAAAAATAATGCAAAAATAATGAGATTACAAACCCCCATGGGGCTAAGTGCAGTGTGTGGGGGAGGTGGTACCAGCTGGAGACAGGGCTTCCTCCCTCCAGGTGTCCTGACTTGGAGGCTGTGAGCAGCACCAGGCTGCTCCCCAACTCACTTCTGGAAGACACACACTAGCTGCTCCCTAGTGGTTGCTGTGAAGTGTGGGAACAAGGCAACGGCACTTTACAAACAGATAAAGCCCCATAAGAGAAGCAGAGGGCCAGATGCTGTGGGGTGGAGAGGAGCTGGGGACAACAGGCAGGTTTTGTGCATCCAGAGCATGGAGGTGAGACCCCACCAGGAGGTGGCTCCCTGCAGAGGGAGGCAGGGAGGGGATTCTGAGTCCAAAGAAGAGATCCCTGGCCGGCTCAGACGACAACTAACTCACGCCCCCCACCAGGTGAACAGTCATGATACCCCTCCCAGAGCCCACCTGTCGGCCCATGGGAAGGACAGAAGGGCAACGGCTGCCAGTGGGAAAAGCCCAGGCAAAGGCAAGGAAGAGGGAAGAGGAATAGTGTTTGGGAGAATGCTGCACCTCAGCGTGTCAGGGTGGATGGCTAACCATGAAGGAAAGACGCAGACTTGGGGACAGCTCAGCCCCTACCTGCCACCCCGACAACAGTGGCACTTCAACTACTTGTCCCCCATCCCTGCCTGCTAGCCTCACTCAATGCTGCCTCACCACAGAGCCCGCAGGCTCGGTGTCACAGCAATGCTGTCACGCACCATGTTTCTGGGTGAAAGAACAAAAAGTCCAACGAAGAGCAGCACACAGGTGACGACACAGAACATTACTCAGACCTACCTGGAGACTTGGTACTCAGGAAACCTAGCCCCTAAGTGACACTGTCAAGCAATAATTTGGGGGAGGGAACAGACTAGACAGTACTGAGAAGACCTCAGGTCCAAGGGCTGCACCCAAACCACACCCCATGACTCCATGGTCCTGGCCGAGGTCTGATTTATCCACAAGTGCAGTAAAGAGGGAAATGGCCTGCCACCATCACTCACACCACCCAGCCTCGGCCAAGAGTATGAGAAGTATAGGTTTATCCAGAGCTTCAGAATTCAATTTAAAAAAGACAGTGTACAGCACAACTGGTGAGTATGAAACGGCACGACCACTCTGAGGAACTCTGGCAGCTTCATAAGAAACTAAGTTTACATTCAGCACGTGACCAGTCACCCTATAACATGAAAACCTGCATCCACACAGACTTATACACAAATGTTCTCAGCAGCTTTATTTGTAACAGTCCAAAGCAGGTATCTACCACCAGGACAGTCAATAAACAGGATGTGGTAGAAGCACACAATGCAACAGTACTTTGCATCAGAAAAAACGGTTTACTGATACATACGAACCACATGGATGAATTCCAGAGACATCACGCAGGAGTACACACTGGTGATTTTATTTATATGATGTTCAGGAGAGGCAAACTAGTCCATGGTGACAGAAGTCAGCACAGAAGGTGCTGATGGGAGGGAGGGGACTGACAGGAGGGGCTAGGGTGGGAGGGAACCATGTGGTAGTGGTGACCTTCTTCACAGGGATTTGCTTCACCAGGCACAGGGATGTGTCAAAACTCAGAACGGGACACTTAAGATCTGTACATTTCACTGTAGGTCAATTCTTACTCAAAAAAAGATTGCAAATACTGAACTCTAGATGATGACTAACATGTGTGTTGAAGAGTTCAGGGTAAAGTGTACAGAATACGGATTTGAAATGCCTCCCACTAAAAAAAAACTAGTAGACACACAGGAGGGATGGAGATGCAAGAAGGAAACACAGTGAAACACTGCCTGTCAGATGTGGGTGGTGTACAGGTGGTCCTGTGCAATTCTTTCAATATTTTCATATGTTTGAACATTTTCATCACAAAACCTTTGAGGGAGGGCAGAGGCTTCCTAACATTATGAACAAGCAGTCAAGTCAGTCAGTTCTGGAAGATGGTGGTGAGGGGCAAAGAACCAGAGAGGAGAGAGACCATCTTGACCTCCCGCGGCATGTCAGGGCTTCAAGGAGAAGGGAAGACGACAAGCTCGGCAAGAGGAGTTGGAGGGTGCCGGTGGTCAAGGGGGCAGCTGAGGAAGGGGGTGCTGGAAACACAGGGTGGGACAACTGACCTCCGTTTCTGATGGCTGTGATCCCTTGGTAGAAGTCTTCAAAACTGATCACGCCGAGTCCACTGGGATCCAAGTACTTAGTTAAGTCCTTCACCTGCAATTGCCAAATGAAAACATGTTACCCAAAGACTTTACAAAAACTGGGTGAAGGTGTGTCATTCATGTGCTTGACCTTTTTACCACACAGAGAAGCAGGCCGCCTGCAAGGTGCAGTGCAGAAAATAAGAGCCTTTGGCTCCTCTGATCCAAGAGGCAAAGGTGGCTGCCGAAGGCCACACAAACAGCTCCAGCCAAAGGACAGCAGGCATCCTGAGAAGAAGCTGCCAGCAGTACCTAGGACCCTGAATCATGGAAATAAGACCCTGGCTGTCAAAAAGTCAACAGCCATGTTTCCTGGGTGGGAAGATCAGAAGTTTTGGAGTTTAGGTATTGTTCTACCAAGTATCTAGAATATTTACACATAGCATAAACCCATGCCACCCATACAGACAGGCGTTCCCAGCTGCGCAGAGTCCCTCAGTAGGAAATAACTGAGGCAAATAGACCCCGGATATCAAAAGTCACAGAAGGTAAGTAGGATAATTCACACATGGGATGTTAAAGAGAATGAAAACTCTACAGAAAGAAGATAGATTTATATTGCCAAGTATAAATTAGATTTCATCAAAATTTAAAACCTTTGCACTTCAAAAGACAACATTAATAAAACCAAAAGACACAACACAGACTGGGAGAAAGTATCTGCAAATCATATATCTGACAAAGAACTTGCATCAAGAATAGATTAAAAAATCTTACAATTCAATTCAATAAGATGACAACCCAATTTTCTTTTATGGGCTAAAGATTTAAATAAACATTTCATAAAAAAAAGATAAACAAATGGCTGATAAGCACATGAAAAGATGCTCAATATTGGGCCAGCCCCGTGGATTGCTCGGGAGAGTGTGGCGTTGGTAGCGCCGAGGCCATGGGTTCAGATCCTATATAGGGATGGCTGGTGCGCTCACTGGCTGAGCGTGCAGACCACACTGTGCCAGGGGGTGCGATCCCCTTACCGGTCAAAAAAAAAAAAAAAAAAAAAAAAGATGATCAATATCATTGGTCCTTAAGGAAATGCAAATTAAAACCACAATGACGTATCACTCACTAGAATGGCTATAATCAAAACAGCTGACAATAACACACATTGTGAGAATGTGGAGGAATGGGACCCTCCTATGTTGCTAGGAGAAATATAAAATGGTCTGGCTAATTTCAGAAACCATTTGGCAATTTTATAAAAAGTTGAACATAAGCTTTTTTTTTTTTTTTTTTGTGATCGGTAAGGGGATCGCAACCCTTGGCTTGGTGTCGCCCGCACTGCGCTCAGCCAGTGAGTGCACCGGCCATCCCTATGTAGGATCTGAACCCGCGGCGGGAGCACCACTGCGCTCCCAGGCGCCGCACTCTCCCGAGTGTGCCACGGGGCCGGCCCAAGCTTACCAAACAATACAGCAACTCCACTCTTAGGATGTGTGCACAAAAATGTGTATGCAAATGTTCACAGCCACATCATTCATAATACCCAAAAAGAAGAAACAACCCAAATGTCCAAAGATGGATCAACTAAAGAATAGATAAATAACATGTAGTGTATCCATACAATATAACATCATTCAGCCATAAAAATGGGTGAAACACTGATACATGCTGTGGAATATACTAAAAAGCATATGTACTTCACAGGGCCTGGTTTTCCAAAGCCTTACAGTTTCAAATATTGACTTTGCGGAGAACTGGAAATTTCTCTCAGGCTATAAGTCTCTGTTGCAAGATTAAGATTGTGGCACAGCAGGTTGCTGGCTCAAGGACAGACTAGTTACTGATTGTTATGTAAAGATACTGAGAAATTTCTGTTAAGAAGGAATGTTTGCTAAGATCAAACTGTTGTTGATAGGACCACTTAGTTGTCTACTGCAATGTCATCTGGCTTGTTTCACTGAAAGTTACCAGCCTATATTAAACTTCCTGGTCTGGAAAATAAATGCAGGGAGAGAACCCCAACTCGGCATTAATTTCCCAAGGAAGGGATGGCTCTCGCTTGAGCATCCCAAAGGGAGATTAACCACTTCGAGGCCTCTCACTGCTCAGAAGAGATGGGATTTGAGTAATCCTTTCATCTCCGTCACCCAGGGGAAGTGGGGTGACAAATCCATGGGGGACGAAGCAATGCAAAGCAACAACATGCTACAACATGAATGAACCTCAAAAACACTATGCTGGGCCGGCCCAGTGGCGCACTCAGTAGAGTGCGGCGCTTGGGAGCACAGCAGCGCTCCCGCCGAGGGTTTGGATCCCATATAGAGACCGGTCCGCTCACTGGTTGAGCATGGTGCGGGCATAACACCGAGGGTTGCGATCCCATTGCCAGTCGCGGTACGGGCGCGACACTGAGGGTTGCGATCCCGTTACCGGTCACGAAAAAAGACAAAAAGGAAACAAACAAACAAACAACAACAAAAAAAACCCCACTATGCTTAGTGAAAGAAGCCAGACACAAAAGACTGCAAGTTTTCTTTTTTTGCCTGGTACAAGTACTGGACCCTGGACCTTGGTGTTATCAGCACCATGCTCTAACCAACTGAGCTAATTAGGCAGCCCCAAGTTATTTCATTTACAGGAAATTTTCAGAAAGGACAAATCTTTTTGTGAGGTCAAAGCAGGGACTGACTACAAACAGCATGAGGGATCCTTTTGGGATGCAGAAATGTGAAACTAGACTATGATGATGACTGCATAATTCTATAAATTTATTAAAAATCATGGAATGGGTGGACTTTATGGTATGCAAATTATACGTCAATAAAGCTCTTAAAAAAATAAGAGATGAGCATGATTCCAGAGAAAGTGACAAATACTGAAGTGAGACAAATAAGATCTAATGTGTAGATAACAGAATTCCTGAGAAGAAAATCAAAGCAAAGATACAGAATACTGAAACTCTATTTAATAAAATTTCCCTAAAATAAAAATTATATACTTTTTAGTGACATAGTGAAGGAATACACCAGGTGCCTAAGAATGCTCCCAACCCCAAAACCTACTCCAAGACTGATTCTGGTGAGTTTCTTGGACTTGGTAAAGAATTTTTTTCAAAATCCTTTAAATAGTTATACAAAAATCAAGTGACTTATAGAAGAAAGTTGGACTATCAATTAACTTTTTGGCAGTAATGTCAAGTAATAAGTAATGTTCTAATTCCATCATTCCAAGTGTTGAGAACTGAGATCCTCAACCTAGTTGAAAAAGGAAAAAAACATGCAGGACTGAAAATGTTAGGCAAAAACCCTGTGTCTTAGTCCATTTGTGCTGCTATAACAAAACACCACTGACTAGGTGACTTACAAGGCAGAAATGTGTTTCATACAGTTCTGGAGGCTGGGAAGTCCGATATCGGGGTGCCGGCATTCAGTGTCTGCTGAGGGCCTTCCTGCTGCATCTTCATGTAGTGGAAGAGCACAAGAGAGCAAGCTCACTCCCAGGAACCCTTCTGTATGGGCCCTAATCCCATCCATGAGGGCTCTGTTCTCATAACACTATCACACTGATGATTAAGTTCCAACACATGAATTTTGGAGCACATTCAGAACATCGAATTTTAAGCATCATGATGAACTCATGATATATTAAAAACACAAACTTTTTACTTTTGTCCATTCAAAACAGCCCCAGGTTGAGGTATTTAAATCCCATTTCCTATTAAAAGGAACTTGGAACTTGGACCCTTGAGAGAGGCAGGAAATGGGTGAGCTGCGCTTGGAACACATTGCATGCCTGAACGCAAAGCAGCTATCAAAGACTACTTGTTAGGTCATGTCGACAGAACTCAGGAGCCACCTGAAAAGGCTTCCACTACCAAAAATTAGACAATATGAGCACCAGTAGACTAATAACTGCAATGGACTAAAACACATCAAATATGTTTCAATCCATGAGGGCGTGATTATGATTTAAAAAAAAAAAAAAGATCCTTGGGGAATACTAGTGAACCAATTTATTAATGTGAAAACCAGTAAACGAAGAGAAAGAATCAAGCATTAATGTGCCTTTCTCATACAAACTGTGACACTGGGCAGCCAAACGGTACATGACCCTTCTATCAAGTCTCTCTCGATAGAAATAGTCCAGCTAACAAATGCAGAAGGAACGACAGAACTGGAACATCACCACCTCGCAGTCCTTAATGAAGCAATGGACATTGCAGTGACTATCAACGCCTCCTAACAGCACAAATGACAGACGACCAGACACCACATGCTTCCTCATGGAGGCATGCACTACCACCAAAACCAACCCAAACCCAACCGCCAACTTACAGGAGATAGAGACAAAGGAACATACTTCAGCACTATCTTAGGGATGTAATTAGCAAAACCCAGGCAGAGACAAATGAGTGACCTCTGTTTTCAAAGGAAAAAAAGGTGAAGAGAAAACTGTGGTGCTGATAACACCAAGGCCATGGGTTTGGATCCCATATAGGGCTGGCCGTTAGCTCACTGGATGAGTGTGGCGCTGACAACACCAAGTCAAGAGTTAAGATCCCCTTACCAGTCATCTTTAAAAAAAAAAAAAAAATCACACATAAGAAAATTAGAAATTTGAATATTGATTGAATATTCGATGTTATATATTAAGGAACTGTTATTAGTTGTTGTTAGGGTTATAGTATTTTAGTAATTTTTCAAAGAGCATTGCTTTTTAGACACACTTGCTGAAATGTTTAGAAACCTCAGAAATCTGGGTGTGAGGTCAGATGTGACTGACTGGCATGACCGAGAGTTGCGGCTGGAGACAGGTACTATCCTCTCTACTTTTACAGGGTTTGGACTCTTCCAGAATGAAAGCTTCAAAAAGAACAAAGAAGAGAACAAGAAAGAAGAGAGGAAGAAGTGGAGGAGAGGTGATTTCCGACTCACAATGAGGGAAGGGCAGAGGAAGCCCCACAGGTAGGCAGAATGGGGGTCTGTGAGTTAGGGATGGGGGTGCAGACAAGCATACATCAAAGGTGGAGAATCATCAGGGCTAAGGCTGCAGCTGGCACCAGCCCTGGCTGAGGCCACATCCATCAATTCACA